AAAAAAAAAATATTCATGGCTCTAATGGATAAAGTAGACAGCATGTGAGAACACAAAGGCAATGTGAGCAGAGAGATAGAAATTCTAAGAAAGGACAAAAAAATGCTAGAGATCTAACACATTGTAACAGAAATGAAGAATGCCATTGATGGGCTTATTAGTAGACAGGAAAGAATCTCTGCTTGAGGCTCTCTCAATAGAAACCTCCAAAACTGAAAACAAAGAGAAAAAAGTATGGATAAAAAGAAACAGAAAAGAATACTCAAGACCTGGAATACCAGAAGGAGAAGAGAAAAAAGAACTGAACAAATATTTGAAACAATAATTACTGAGAATTTTCCATACAATATTTTAGGTCAATTATAATTGATAATATTTGGATGGACCCTGAGGACATTGTGGTCAAGTGAAACAAGTCAGAGAAAGACAAATACAGTGTGATACACTTATGTGTGAAATCTGAAAAAGCCAAATTTGCAGGGACAGAGAGTAGAATGGTAGTTAACAGGGGCTGGGGGGTGGGGGGAGTAGGGAGATGTTGGTCAAAAAGTACAAACTTTCAGTAAGAAGAGTAAATTCATAGGATATAATGTACAGCATTGTGATATAGCTAATAATACTGTGTTATATAGTTGAAAGTTGCTAAGAGAGTAAACCTTAAATATTCTTACCACAATGAAGAAATAATTATGTGACATGCTGGAGGTGTTAGCTAATGCTATGGTGGTAATCATATTGTAATATATAAAAATATCAAATCAACGTGTTGTATACCTTAAACTTATACAATGTTATATGTCAATTATATCTCATAAAGCTAGGGATAAAAAAATAGAAATAGAAGAGGAGGAATGCTCCACTCATTTAATGAGGCCCATATTAACCTGATACCAAAACAAGGCAGACACATTATAAGGGAAAAACCTAGGGGTGCGAAATCTTTAATGAAATATTAGCAAGTTGGATCCAAATATATATAAAAGGATAATATACCATGACCAAATAGGGATAATCCAAGGAATGCATAAGTGATTTAACATTCAAAATAAATGATATGATTATCCCAATAAATTTAGGAGATGCATTTCAGAAAAATCAATATATATTCATAATTTAGAAGAAAAATAAAACGTCCTGGGGCGCCTGGGTGGCTCGGTCGTTAAGCGTCTGTCTTCGGCTCAGGTCATGATCCCAGGGTCCTGGGATGGAGTCCCACATGGGGCTCCCTGCTCCATGGGAAGCCTGCTTCTCCCTCTCCCATTCCCCCTGCTTGTGT